CCACTCCAGCAACCCTCAGTTCCTCGACACCCCTCTTGATGTGACATGGCACCCACTGGCTCAACCCTCTCTCCCCCTGGTGCCCCCCACCACCCCTGCCTACCTGTTGTGAACTGGGTGGTCGTGGACTGGCTCTCATTGGTCCCGCGGACGGCGCTGACCCACACCTCGTAGCGGGAGCCGGGCCGCAGGGCCTGCACTGAATATTGGCTCAGGGGAGGCTGTAGCCGGAAAGTGGTCTTCCCGCCTTCCCCGCCCACCAAGCCATACTTCAGGAGAATGAAATCGACTTTGGCTCGAGGTGGGGTCCACTCCACGAAGGCCACAGTGTCCGAGACATCTCGAACCAGGATCTGCGTGGGCCCATCAATGACTGAATAAAAAGGATCAAGTAGAAAAAAAGAGTTTGAGAAATGGGTGTTTGAAATCAACTCTCTTCTCTCCTCCTTAGGTTAACTTGGTCAGTCAAAGAGAGGATGGGTATTATTATCCCAATTTACAGATGGGGAAAATGAGACACAGTAAGACAAAATCGCTTTCCTGAGGACACACAGTTTGGCAACAGGGGAAGCGACATTAGAAGTCGGTTCCCCTGCATCTTGCTCTCAGCAGGCTCTGGTGTTTCAGCCCCGGCATTCTCCATTTGGGCAGGGGAAGAGCACCCACTGGCTTGAGAGGCCAGCAGGGCTTCTGTCTGGAGGTAATGGGCCAGAGAACTGTGAGATGTGCTTCTGGTGTGTGTGCTCTGCTCTTCTCTCACCTTCTCTGAGCCCTGATGAAAGACCTACAAGATTATCAGCCCCATGTAAACATCTCAGAATTCCAACTCGGTTGCCAAAGAGGGCATCGTGAATGTCCAAAAGATGTCCCTGCTCAGCCACATCTACAACTCAGTCAGTCCAGCTGCTAAGAGTACCACAACCCAGCAGATATTTGCATTGCAGACGTAAACATGCCTTCTGGGGAAACTTGCTCTTCTGGGAAAAAAAAAAAAAAGGACCTTAGTTTAGGAAGAGCATCTTGTGGGCTATTTTGTCGCACCTGTTCTTGCACATTCCTGACCTAGAGGGGCACTGTGTGTCCCTCCTGAGCCTTTGGCCTCTGCCACTGAGTGGCTGAGGGGAACATCATTGTGGGGTGGCATGACATAGAAAAGCTGAGTGGTGTCCCAGGGGGCCCGGCATCTATCATTCCAGCACCCACTTGGTTCATAGTGAATTAGACAATGGTGAGGTTGGGGAAGGGGAGAGAATATAGAATGGAAATAGAAAAAGAAAGAACTTCGTGAGGAGAATAGAAAATGCTGTCCTCAACTCCTCATGGTAGGTCTGCACAGCCAATGTGTCCTTTCTGAATTACTCATTACCTTCTAAAAGAGTAGGCCCAGCTTCCATGTTTGCATTTATAATATGATTATGCCTCTCTGGCTAGAGCTGATTAATATTAATATTAATGTTCTTCAGGGATTTGGAATTGGAACCAGAGGCTCAGGTTCTCTGGTTAGATGGTTTGGGACCATGTAGAGCCAGGGCTGGTATGAGACCATTTTCTACCATATTCACACATAAATAGAAAACATCTGATCTGAAGAGAGAGAAAACAGGTGGGAGAGGAGTGAAGAAGGGAGAGGGTGATTTATCATAAATACATATTGGTCTTGGTCCCTTCCTGACACAAACCTCCTAAAACCTTTGGAGTTTCCTAAGTGATGAGAGTACTAATGTCTTTTGTGATGTTAATGAGGTGAGGAGAGGGGCTGGTTGCCAGGGGTGTGAGCCATGTGATTAGAGGGCTGGAGCTTTCAGTCCCGCTTCTGACCTCTGGGCAAGATCAATCCTGCCTGTAATGAAGCCTCTGTAAAAACCCAGAAGGACTGGGTTCAGAGAGCTTCCAGGTTTGGGAACCAGAACGCTTCCACGTGCCACCATGATGGGCCCCCAAACTCCATAGAGACAGCAGCTCCTTTGTTCAGGGCTTTGCCCAATGTGTGTCTTCATCTGGTTGTTGATTAGTATCCTTTAATATCCTTTGTAGTAAATCAGTAATCTTGTGAGCAAATGGATTTCCTGAGTTCTGGGAACATCTCTAACAAATTAATCAAACCTGAAGAGGGGGTGGTGGGAACCTCTGATTTATAGCCATTTGGACAGAAACACAGGTAATGACCTGGATATGCAATTGGCATCTGAAGTGGAGGGCAGTCTTGTGGGACTGAGCCCTCAACCTGTGGAATCTGTTCCTGTCTCTGGGTAGATAGTGTCAGAATTGAGTGGAATTGTAGGATACCCAGCTGGAGTCCAGAGAAATGCTTTGGGGGGGACCTCCCTCTTCAACACACACACACACACACACACACATATACTGGAATTGGGTGCAGAATTTTAGGAACACATATACATAGAGAAGGAGAAATGAGTGACTCTGTGGAGCTTCTAGAAAGACAGAGAGAGTAACCTGAACCTGGCTTTCCATTCTTCAGTTTTTTGTGACATCAGGATACATTCTGGTCCTAGGGTTTCAGGAGACACTCTATGTCCTTCCAGTAAATTCTCTTTTTTGCTTTAGCTAAAGAAAATTTTTCTTCCTTGTTACTAGAGAGTCTTGACTAAGACTTGTTTTTTAAACCAATCCACTCTGGACCACCTCCTACTGTCTCCAAAATGGAGCATCTTCTGCAGGATGAACTCAGTCTGACTTTGAGCTTCTCAGTCTTTCAGAGTTGGGCCTTTTCCTGGGCACCCCACCCTCTTTCTGGGTCTAGTCCAGTTTCGTTCTTTATTAAGCAGCTTAGGATTTTTGGCTTAGTACCAGCCAAAATGAAAATCACCAGGCCATTTTGGTGCCACCTGGTTTGGAGTTAAAATGAAGTTCTGTTTTTCATATTTGGGGTAATAGTATGATTTAACGGAACACATCCAGATGTTTTCAGCATGCTGAATTTAATGGCTTTCAGTAACTTGGGCCTTTTAAATTTAATTTAATTTAATAACAAAATGGGAGAAGTGGTCTTCTAGCTGCTATATAAGCATAAAGTCTGAAACATAGACACTCAGTACATGGGTGTGGAGTAAATGAAATGAATGAATATCCACTGTATCCATGAGAAAGAAGGGGAAGCATTTCAAAGAATTCAAGCTTCTTGAGAAAAAAAAAGTTGTCACAGAAACTCAAATGACATTGGAAGGCTTTTGTCCTTTAACTCTTTAAATCCCCAAGACCCTAATCATAATGGATTGTCCATATTAGAATATAATCATGCAGCATAGAGGGCCCTAGTTGCAGGAGGTCTAGTAATTTGCATTCCCTAAAGGCCTGCCTGGAAGAAGCCAGTCTGAGTGCCTTTGAGGACTCAGAGCTTCGCAGGAGGGGGTTGGTGTCTGTCAGACCTCAGCAGAAGGAAATAATTAACCAATCATTTCCTGAAAACAGCAGACAGGGTTGGGAGACAACCTTCTTTTCTGTAGCCACCCTTGGATTCTGCCCTTCTGTTGGCCACTCAGTAGTGGTGTCCCCATTCTAGTCAAGTTGGTATCAGCTTGTTTTCAATTTAGGTCCTAATTTCTAAACAAACACAAGTTCTACTCAGAAAGTCAAATGGAATAAATATTTTTCTTTCCATTTCTTCATGACTCTGTATGCAATGCCAAAGTATTAACTAGGACATTTTTCTTAATTGAAAAAAAAAATCTGCCTAGCTTTACCACAAATTTTTAAATCTGGAATTTGAATCTTAAGGAACTTCTAAACCAAAAAATATCGCAAATTTCGTAAAAATGTGCTTTGAGTAGAAGACTGAGGCAGGGTTAGACTATTTTCCCCAAATTTGGAGGAAAAACTTTCTACAGCTGCAGTGCTCTTCTCTGCCCTCTTCTGAACCATCTTCTTTGTCTAGGCTTTTGTTTTCCAGTCATGTTTTCTTAATATCAGTTCACAGGAATGATTTGGAGTCACTGAAACGTTTCATCCCAGAGGAGGAGCATCTACACATGTCATGAAACGTCAGGTTCCAGCATAACCTTGGGGAACGGAGTTCTGGAAAAACTCTAGTCACTGGCATCTGAAGAAATTCCTACAGAGAACTTTTAGGTTTTATGGCTATGGAGTTTCTTCTAAAACATATTTGCATTAGAACAGTAGTTTTAAAGTCTTTTTAGGGGGAATAATACTCTTTTCCTTTAAAGAACAAAATCTTAAATGACCATACAAAATATAAAACAGGTGGAGCTGCCTTGGTTGGAGGCTGTGTTGGGCATGGGTGTGGATGTAATCAGAGGCCTGAATCTCCCCTTCATCCTTGCCTTGAGCCACTGCCATGGAGCCCTAGTGTTCTAATGGAACATAATCTAATGCCACAATAGTTTAAAACCAATGTTTTCTAGGCTGAGCATAAGCCTCAGCACCTGATGTTATTTAGTTTGGATCCAATTAGCAAAGTATGAATCACTAATCCATAAACATGGTCTCATTACATGGTGTTGTCGTTCTTTTTTCTGGCCAACTTGGCCTTTGTCCTAAACCCATAACTGGCTTTCTTAGGTGTCAATGTCAGTTTATGAAAAATAAAGCTGTACCAATATTCACCTATCTCAGTTTCTGTTAACTAAAAGGGAAAAGTGCTTAACTTTGGAATCTCAGCTCCCCCATCAATAAAATGAGACAAAAAATGATATCAGATGCTATTTGTAACTTTTGAAATTGGGAGGGCACACACATATGCATCATAATTGCTAATTTACGGCATTGAAGTTGGCCATCCTTTGTTAGCTAAGAAAACAATAAGGCAAAAGATGATGCAGTTACTGAATTGAATCTAGAAACAACGATCTTGCATAAGATTAACTGTGGGGATGAACTAATAACCAATTTAAGTCATCACCTTGAACAGTGACTCAACTCACACATACTGGTTTTAAATAATTTGTTTCCACCTGCTCTCACTTCTTTTTTTAAATTTTTTAAAAAAGATTTTATTTATTTATTTGACAGAAAGAGACAGTGAGAGAGGGAACACAAGAAGGGGGAGTGGGAGAGAGAGAAGCAGGCTTCCCGCTGAGCAGGGAGCCCAATGTGGGGCTTGATCCCAGGACCCTGGGATCATGACCTGAGCTGAAGGCAGACGCTTAACGACTGAGCCACGCAGGCACCCCCACCTGCTCTCACTTCTAAGTGTGTTCTGTAAGTATATGTATATACACTGGGTATTGAGCACTCTCTCATCAACATAGTGCTAATCACTTTGTGTGCTTTTTCTAATTTAATCCTCATGTCAACTCAAAGAAGGAGGTATTTTCGTTCACCACTGGAAAATGATGGCAAGTTTGGGAAGGGTTGGATGACTTTTGCTAAATCTCACAATAGATAAGAGTTAGTTCTTGCTCAAGAACTTGGTTCCTGAGCTCAAGATACTAGGGGCTGACAAATGAAGCCTCTTAATGAATAAGCTCAGAAGAAATATGCTGGAAATCTTAACAAAGAATTTTCCCTGTATAATACTCTCCCAGATTTCTGTGCTTGCAAGGATTAGCAATAGGGGAGATGTTCAGCTAAGCATCTGGTAGAGTAGCTCCATCTCCAGGTATCCAAATAATTTTCAGCTCTGGGAGAAAACCCAGCACCCTTTGTCTCTCGACTTCTTGGGAAATTTGTTGTCCTTTTTCCAGTGTGACCTAATGCTTAGATGTAGGAAGAAGGGTTGGAAGCACTCACCAGTAGAGACGCTGGCCGAGGTAGGGGGGCTCCGGGCTTGCTCTTTCAGAGCCACCACATTGACAATGTATTCCTCCCCAGGCTTTAGTCCTGTCTGATTGAAGGATGTAACATCACTGGGGAGCTGAGCAATCACCCCTCCTTCATTATTCTGGAAGGTGGGAAGAAAGAAGAAGCAGAAAAGGCAAAAGAGAAAAATCACCGGGAGAGAAAAGTGTGGAACATCAATTGTGAATTGTTAATAAAAAATGGCGCCCATATCTATTCCCGTGATGCTGACAGCTGAATGTCTGGAGCCAGGAAAAACTCCCAGCAGACTCAGTAAGAATCTTACTGCTCTATGAGGATTTGGCAAATGGAGAATCAACTTTCAAGAACATTTCTTTGGCCTTCCCTGAGTCTTTTGAGTTTGCCAATAAAAATTGGTCATGAGGTAATGTGGATTGACTCTTGCCAAAGATTCCGTATTTGATGGTTACGGTTAACATCCATCAGATTTTGGGGCATTTATTATGATGAGCCTGCCCTTGGCTATTTAGAAGAGTGAACTTGTGTCTGTGTATGCCTGTGAATATCTATCTTTATGTATATATACAACATTTTTCAAACTAAGACATTCACAGTTTGTGAATGAGCTGGAACTATTATTTTGCTCTATCTGGAGTTTTCCACACTGTTACACTGGGTGCAAATCTGTCAGTGTCTTTTTTTTTCTTCATCCAGATGAGTTAGGAGTCAGTGACACAACCAGCTAGGAAGTACAAAGAAGAGAAAAAGGAAGCATGGAACAAAGAATAACACAAAGGAGAAAGGAAAGAGACAAATTGGTGGAAGAGGAAATGAGAAGGATTAACTTGATGATGTTGGGTCCAGGATCATCTACCTACCTACCTCTCCATCTGTCTGTTATTATACATTTTCTGTGTGTGTCCCTGGAAATGGAAGGGATGAGAAGACTCTTTTTGTGTGACTGCCCTTCTTCCCTATTCTTTGGACTCTGTTTATATCACCCAGAGTGCCCTATATGTAATTTATAACCATACCCATAAATCACTGTAACACATGCCCCTCCGCACCCCCCTCCCCACCCCACCCCCAGCCAGTGCCTACAACCTACAGATCACACAGTGGTCTTGTGTTTGACCTTGGCATGCCCTGGCCAAGGTCTTATTTAGAATTTTACATATTAGATGTAAAATACGCCAACCTAGCATAGTTTTTTTTTTCCTGCCTCAGCATCAGGGTGAGAGGATTCTCTCTGCCCTGTTATACACCCAGTTGCCTACCATACTTTAGTGGCCATTTCAATGCAGATAAGACATATAAGAAGGTATTTGTACAGAATGCCTGTTCAGATGTATTTAGCTTGCCATGACATGACTCTATCCACATAGAGAGGGAAGTCTTACTATAGTGGACAGAACCCTGGAGCCCTGGGTTCTTGTGTTAAGCCTGCCACCAACTAGCTATCTGATGTTGTTTACGTTTGCTGAGTCTTAGTCTCTTTAAACTAAACAAACTCAATGGAAAATGAAGGGTCATACTCTGTGAACTTGAAGGTCTTTGGTAGCTCCAACAGTCCATGCCTAGAAGAATTTTGAAGTAAAATAATGGTGAGATCACTGTCTTGTTATCCAACTATGTGTCATCTGTCATTAAGTCTGATGAATGACTGGAAAAATGCTATTTGATATTGAAAGATGAAGATGAGGTAAGGCCTATGATTAAACATTACACTCCCATGAGTGGTAGAGTTAGGGAGAATATCAGTAGGGCCAACAAATTCTGGAAAAGCAGAACTAGGCAGGCACCTCTGGTGACTTGGAAAAATTAGTTCTAGATTAACACAATAAAATGCTACTTTAAAGAATAGAAAGGAATTGGGATACTTTTTAACTCAAAAACTAATAACATAATTTGTTTAAGGACAAATTTTCTCAATTAATAGGTTACAAAAGGTATTTTTGTGTTATGCCTCAGACCTTTAGAACCTGGCCATGCAAGCTGACTTTTGGTATCTTCTGCACAGAATGAAGCCATGTGACTGATTCAGTCTGGCTTTCTTTATGTCCTAAAGAAAAGCCCCAACATTTTGAAGATTTGGTTTTTAGACTTGCTAAAATCATAGCTTGCCAAACCCTAGAGCTTTCTGAGCAGAGAGCTGGGCCTGGTGGCTGCTTCCCACATCCTGTCTTCCAAAGCCAGGGTGTGAGGCTCAGGGCCACTCTTGCTAGTCAGTCCAACATGCCTTTGTGGAAGAGATGTTCTATAGCCCAGACACCACCAAAGATCCCTTTGCATCCTTAGCCGCATGGAGAGAGACTTTGGGTAGCACCGTCCTTGCAGCCCCTTATTCCAAGTTGAGGGTATAAATACTCCAAATGAGGCTGTTTGGCAGTGTCACAGGTGGACATTACCTTTGGAATGAAGCTGATCTCCCACCCATCGAAGGAGAATGAGAAGGGCTCCCACTGCACTTCCACGGTGGTCTCTGTGATGGTCTTGAAGTGTAGCCCTTGAGGAGTGGAGAGATCTGGAACACAGCAATGTGGGTGATCATGTCATGGCTATCCCTGGCAGGGACAGAGAGCATCACCTGGAGCTTTGCCTGGGTGCCATCCCTCCACAGCTTGGGTGCGGTGGGCAATCCCAATCTTATTGCAAACATGAGGAATCCAGGTGAAGGATTGGCCCACTCTGTCGTGGCCCTGGTGCTGCTCCATGTTGGTGATACCCAAGTGAACCTTACAAACATAATCTAATATATAACTTTTTTAATGCTTTCTATTCCACCATAGGTTAATATTAAAAAAAAAAAAAAAGAAACGACCTTTCCTTTCCTTACTAATGTGGCAAATCTTGGTATTTAATACGATGCCTTTCTCAGAGAATTGAACACTATCTTTGGAGGCTCTAAGGATTCCTGAAAGGCAATAAAACATTCCCATTTCACACCCAGGAAGAGGGAGGCACAGAGAGAGTTGGCTAAGGACACAAGCCAATTTCAGAATAAAGACTAGAATGCCTTTCTTGATCATCTGATGTGCAGTCAGAGTATTTAGTTCAGCTCAAATCACCATGTCTAGGATGGTCTAAGATTTCCATTTCGTGTACACAAGGCAACCAAAGACACACACAAAGGACAATGGCAGATCCTGGGATGTTTGCTCTCACTCTACTGTCTCCCTCTTTCCTCCAGTTCTTCGTTATTTGTCTCTTCTCTCCCTCACTTACCTTTGCCTCACTTATCTTGTTTCTCATTCCTTTCTTAATCTCCCCCTTTTCTAACCCCATCCACCCCCCACACGCAAACACACATACAGGCGCACAGACGGAGGCATGCACAGGTTCAGTGAGGTGGAGGTATGCTTGTCCTAATGGAGTTCCAATTACCAGCCCTGAGATACGACAGCATGACTTTTCTCAGTTCTCCAGGGAGCCCGCTCCCATTTTAGCTTTGCCTCTTGTGGGATATTCCATTGGAAAACTGACAGATTCTCATCCTTCCTGTTTGGAAGCTTCTTCATGCTTCTTGGTTGAAAGGCAGGTATGATTCTGAAACCATTTGAAGGCATGTCAGGTGAGTTTACATGATTTCGTCCTTGTCACCTGGGAGCTTGCCTAAGGGGATGCCCTGAATTGGCCTAATGCATGCCACGGGGGGATGGAAACTTCATAACTGCTCATGCACGTGCACGAGAGAGGAGACGCCTGGGAGTCGGGCCAGGCACTTGCTGTGGTGACTCATCCCGGAGCAAGGTGGGAAAAGAGGCAGATGGTGACCTGCCTCTCTGCACAATCATCGAAGATATTTAAAACTGGTTCTCAGGCACCAGAGGAATTCAGAAAAAAAAGGTCAAATATAAACAGAGATAATTATAGGCATATTTACAAAGTCAGCATTCATTGGGGGAATCCAGTATTATAACAGGAGCTCTGTCACCTGGAAAGCAAGGGGACGGGATGATTTCTTAAATCCTTTCCTTTCTGCCGGTCCCTATCCTTCCGAGTGCAATTGAATCCAAGAAGCCTTCAAGGCCAGCTCTTCTTACTTTGACCTCTCCCTTCTCTGAACTTTCATGGCATGTGTTATCCAAATACTATCTTGTCCCTTGAGACCTACATAAAATGGACTGAAATCTCTTATCCCTTATTTGGTGAGAAGTCCCATTTCCTGACCCAGGGGCTTCTGTTTCACGGTTACTTCTTGATCCAGTTTCCTGCTACTGCTAAAATCTGTGTGTGATATAATAAAAAAGTATTTGGTTTTTGTCCCTGGATTCCTGGCACACAACTCCTAAAACTTTTGGAATCTCTGGAGCGATACGAATATCTATTGTATGATTGTGAGATAACTAGATAGCCTGTTTCCAGAAAAACCACAGCATGATTTAAAAGATCAGAACTTTCAGCCCCATCTTCTAACTTCCAGGGAGGGGAGACGGGCTGGAGACTGAGTTATTTACCAACAGCCAGTAACCTATTCAATCGTGCCTACATAGTGAAGCCTCCATAAAATTCTCCAAGCAACAGGGTTTGGAGAGTTTCCAGGTTGGTGAAGAGAGGTGCTGGGAGGTGTGATGTATCCGGAGAGGACATGGAAGCTCCACACCCCGTCCCTCCATCTCTTGCCATAAGCATCTCTTCCATTTGGCTGTTCCCAAGTTGTATCCTTGGAAATAAGACAGTACTAGTAAGTAAAGCACTTTCCTGAGTTCTGTGAATTGTTCTAAGGAATTATCAAACCTAAGGAAGGGTTGTGGGAACCCTTTGAATTTACAGCTGGTCAGTCAGATGTACCCGTGACAGTTTTGGACCTGTGACTGGCTCCCGAGGTGGGGACAGTCCTGTGAGACTCAGGCCCTAAGCTGTGGGACTGGACACTCACTTCAGGTAGATAGTATTAGAGTTGAATCGTAAGTTGCCTTCCCAGCATCTGAGAGGTAGAGGAGCAGTATTGGAAAGGACAATTTAAGAAACCAGAGGTGTATAAAGAAAAAAAAAAATAAGTGCCTTTCTATCTGCTTCTTATTCTACTCCTCGATGTAGCCAATGTTAATACTTGGTATGCAGTCTTTTAAAATTTTTCTCTGCTTAAATAGAATACATGTAAAATACAGATAGGCACCTATAGGAATTTTCCCCTGTTCTAAATAAAAAAGAAAAACTATTTCTTATGGAGAGCAGTTTAGCTGGCCTCTGTCTCTGTCTTAAGCTCTCTTACTGAATCTTTCAAAACTATCCTCTAGAGCCTCAACTTTTATAATCAAAATAGACTATATTTTGCTAAACAAAAGACCATGAAGAAATTATGCCACCTCTCTATGAAGAGAAGTGGGTGTCGTCAGTGTGGTTTTAAATAAGATTTTTTTTCCCACTCTGCTATACACTTACCATCTGTAACATACCATTTAGCACTTGCTTATTATACGTCCTATTTCATATCTTCTGGTTTTGAATCCCTAACTAGATTCAAAGTCTGTATAAGTCTCATACTTTCTTTGACTTCTAATCAGACTCGAGCTTATAACAAGTCAGAGCTCAATAATTGCTTTTTTGTCCTTTTGGTTCTATAATTGATGGGAGCTGCCTGGATTTGGAAATTCTCTTAATCAGAAGTGCCTTTTTAATGATTTACCCTTTTGGGTAAATCGGGTCACGTCGGAAACCCTTCCCCTCAAGAGCAGTGATTATTGCAGGCATCCCTGAAGAATTAAGAAAAGACACTACTATCATGAATGCCCATGATCTCATGTAGGAAAAAAGAAAAATGAAGTAGGATGGGGAAATGTTACGTACGGGTGGCCACCTTGGCAGTGATGGGAAGGCTGAGGATGTTGCTAATGACAGCGTAGACGCTGATGTTGTAGGTGAGACCTGGCTCCAGCTCCGTGATGGTGACACCACTCCAATCTCCAGGTACCCGCTGCTGGAGCTGGAGGCCCCCCAGGGCCGTCGGCTGGTAAGAGATCACATATTCCGTCACTGCCATCGGCCCGTCCCATGCCAGCTCAATGGACCTGTCGCTGATACCAGCCACTCGCAAGTCCTCTGGAGGGGCAACTACCGGGAGGCAATACACAGATAGCATGAGCTCAGAGGACTGCCTTCCCCATCCTGGACTCAACTTTCTTCCTCACATCTCACCCCACACACCCTGTCCGTATGTCCTGCTCCGCTCACTGGCTTAGAGTGATCTGTAACTCCTTCTGTGGACAGGTTCTTGTCTTTTCTGTGCTTAGTACTTCTCTCTCCATAGGGCCATGAGCTAGCGGTGTGCCGGACCAGCTCTTGCTAGCTTGTGAAAGTTGAACGTCAAATTTTCAGGAATTTTTCAAGACTGTTGTTAAATACAGCCATCATTAAAGATTAAATTGTATAACTTACGGTTAAGTAAATTGTATTAAAGACAAAGGGAATAAATACTCAAAACTCATCACTTTCAAATTATTTCACGACATTTTACCATTATCCATGCCCTCGAGGTAATTCACGTGTGTCGAACCTCTCTGGTGGAAATGCTATAGAACTGGATTCTACTGCACAGCTCTTCCAGACCCCTGTTGAGTAGTCTGAAATTGGCCATGGAAGGAGTAGTTCCACCATGGAAACTGGCAAATGCTATAAAGTAAGGTTTTTAATTTTTTCCCTCAGAGAGCCAGTTGTTACATATTTAATAGCTCACCAGTGGCCAACATTTTTGGTAGTTAAATAAGCCTATGTCATCAGATTACCTTAGGAACCCATATTTGATTTGGCAAGTGGGAATAAAAGCTTATTCCTGGTTATCTTGCAAAATATGAGAAGCCAAAACAGTAAGTCCTGGATGCCATGGCCCGATGAAGATATTCAATAACCCTTTATTGTATTATTCTCCTCTTAAAAAGAGACTGTTTAGGTTTTGAAAGAAATGTAACTTGTGTTAGACTAGTTTTTATTAGCCTTGATCTTGGGGATGATGACAAAGAAGCATTCTTGAGGGCTTATTTTTCTCTCTTGTTCCACGTCTCAAATGTTACTCAAAGTATCACCCAAGAATAAGCCTCAGTGAAGTAGCCTTTCATGTATGGTTCCCTTAGGAAGTGAAGATTCACCAGGAGTGTGGGTATTAAATAATTGAAACTTTAAGACCCATTGGGAGGCTAACTCCAGTGTGCTTGTCATTGCACCTGCCCAGAGATTAAATCAAAAATTGGGACAATATTGAAATAGTCGTAACTAACTTATAAATTTACGTGTGGTGAAGATGTTAGTTTAAGAGTCATCACTGGCTTTGAATGTCTCCTCTGAATGTCCTCACTCTTTCACCTTCACAAGAGCATAGGACTGAGCCAGCTGCTGTTCACAAGACTGTGTGAGTGGAGAGCGCCTGTCCTCTCTGTTCTGCTCACACTTGTGCCTTCAAATCCTCGGCAGAGTCAGAAATGACAAGCCCTCTAACTCAGACTCATGGGATGGAAATTAGGACCATATATTTGCAGTGCTGGGCATTTGCTTTGACTGCTTTTGCCCCAAACCATTCATTGTATAAAACAGTCTAGAAAGGAGAGCTCGCTGTGATTGGAGATGGCAAATGCTGACTGAAACAAACAAAAATTAAACATTTATTTTTAAAAAAATTTTTAATTTATAAAACTAAATATATGTAAATGAGATTTAAATAATTAAACTTCAAACTATCATTTATAAGCATATATCATTTCTAATTCTGACATTATTAAAACTCTGAACTGCACTAAGATCTTTGGGATAGCCTGGCCCCTGGACCAAGGGAAGGTGAGTTTATATATAGAATCTGTCAGTACTTTGCATGATTCTATTGAGCATTTACTGTACACCAGGCACAATGCCAACCACTCTTATGTGGACTGTCTCGTTTTGTCCTCTCACCAATACTATGAGATAGGTATTATTATTACCCCTATTTTATAGATGAGAAAACTGGCTCCCATAGTCAGCAAACACAGAAGCAAGGATTTCAACCAGGCAGGATGGCTCTAGAACCTCTAAGCCAGTGAACAATACCACTTCACATTTGCACAGCATTTCACAGTCTATAAAACATGTTCAGACACACCATCTAAATGAAATGTATAAAGTCCTTTAATGGCCGCCCTCTGAGGTAGATTGGGGTAGATATAAATATCCCAACTTTACAAATGGAGAAACTGAGAGCCAGGTTAAGGGACTTGCTAAAAGTCAGGGAGTTGGATTAGAATTGGTTCTCAAACCCAGATCTTCTACACTTAGTGTTCTTTCCCCTACAATTTGTAGGACAGGTTATGAATTGTGCCCGATGCCTTTTTTCATTTATACACAGCCATCTAAAGTAAACTACAGTGAAGGAGAGTTCAGACCATTCTTTAAGATATGAATTCCAGACTGGTGCTTATCCTAGAGGTAAGAAACTTATTTTAAAAAGGATTCTTTACTGCCTGCCTCTTGTGATTCAACCAAAATGATTCCAAGTTTCCTAAGTGGGTCTTCTCCTGTCATAGTCAAAGAAATGGCCATTCCAAATTTCAAGTCATCAACAACTCCTACGGCACTTGGGACAAGTCAGTGTATTTCTTTTTGGTTCCTTCTTCCAGAAAATAAAGCTAATAAAGATCCAAGCAGAGAACTTTGGGATTTTAAAGTAAGAAGGGAGTGTAGAAGGATTTTTTATCTTGACAGCTTAACTTGGCAAATTTTTTATCTTGAGACCTGAGCCTGGTGGTAAACACCGCCTTCACTTGTGATGATAAAGCAGCAATGGTGTTGTTTGTGGAGGGAGTACTCTTGGGGGCCATGGCTCAACGGAAGAAGCCACGACCACCGGCACTTGCCCTATAATAGCAGCTGTGTACATTGGGTGTCAGTAATTCTCATAAGATGAAATGATACTGAACTATTAAAAGAGACTGTAGAAGAGCCATATGCCTTGATTCAATGAATTGAGGATGGAAGCAAAGTATTCATAGTCTTACTTTCTTTGGGGTTCCAACTTTGAACTTTGGGGAAGAGCAAGCAGTTAAAAAGGAATACAATGTGACTTGAAAGATTAAAGTTGCTTTATCTGCGAAGATTCCACGCTGTTTACTTTTTAGGTCCTGCCTCAGTTGTGCACATATGTGCTGAGAGCAGCTGGAACCAGTTCCACAAAGTGTCTTGCTCCAAGGAGCGAGTAATTTCAGGTGCCAAAGGTTGGGCTGGCTGCAGTGCGGGCAGAGGCAGAGGCTGACGTTGATGGATCTCCACAGGTCTGACTGAAGTCCAGGGAACAGCAATCTGGATTGTTTCAAGTCCTGCTCTGGTGGTTCTTTAATCCTGCTGACTCATAGGGGGTTTTGGCCAGTTCAATGGACAGATCCTGTGCTAACCTCCTTCACTGGGGACAGATGTGGACAAATAGTTTGACGTGGTTCTCTCCTCCATCTCTAATGCCTTTAAAAAAAAAATCATTTGACAGGGCTCGGCTTTCCTATCAAAAGACTATTTCTTTGTGTATGTGGCTTTTACAATTTTTATTTTTCAATTCCGCTCTACTTAGCATCCCAGAGAGGATTAAAGAGTGCTAGAAGTTGGTAGGAGACCAAGGTTCTCATTCTTGCTCCACCATTAATTAGCGGTCTGGCTCTGGAGAAATTTTTCTGTCTCTCTGGACTGCTGCTTTTTAAATTTGTAAAATGAGAAGCTCAGTGTAGCTTCTTTCTACGGCCTGTTTTGAGTGTTCATATTCATGACTTTTTCGTTCTATTATCTTTACATGGCCAGAGAACAGAGGCAGGAAGGTTGAGATTTTGTCCCGTGGCACACTATGAGCGAAGATCAAGGCTTGGAGTCAAATGCAGTGGCCCTGTCGATGCTATTCGGTTGTATCCAAGCTCTGGTGGTCTCGGGGGATCAGAATGAAGCCCTCACGATGGGCAGCTATATGCCGTGGCCTTGCCGAGGAGAAAAGAAGGACTCGTGCAGAGGTATATTTTGTGGTTCTCCATGATTTCACCTTCCTTATTCTTCTCTCTCCTGTCCTCACTCCTGCTGACAAGGGAAGCAGTGACGCCGTGGTGTGTGCATCTGGCCAGAAATGTCAAACAGTGGGTAAATAGTCCCCTCTCCCACAGCCTTCTCTCAAAGAGCAAGCAAAGTAGCACTTTAGATAATGACCTAGATACTTCTCTGGAGGAGACCTATGGTGTTCGGTTTAAAAGGAAGGCATTGAGAGCAGCACCTCCTGCAATGAGTGGTGGCTCTGGGGTTGCTATAGAAACAGGTGGAGGTTATGCAACTGTCCTTCCTCACATGCTTCTGGAACCTGTAGAGTAATTCATCTGGGCCTCCCGAAATCTTCTTCAAACAGCACAGAGGTAACGTGTTGGAGGTAACATGGGTTCACAGTTTGGACTCCACCCAGTTGTGGTTATGCCAGCAGCGGCTGAGTCTTCCCTGAGTGACCAGGTGGGTTTATCTCCAGTTCAGTCTGGATCCAGAATCAGATTAAGATTTTGCTTGCAAATGGACCCATTCTTGTAGAAAAGCAGGGTCAGGAATATGGCAGGAATATGGCAGGTTTATATATACAAACAAAGGTCTCTATTCTATTAAGAAGCAGGTAGACTACAGAGTAGCCATCCAGAACAATGGCTCAAGCTGACCCTTAGCATCCTCTGCCCCTCACGAAGCCTCGTCCTGTGCCTGGAACCCAGGGCCATGCCTCAACCTCCCCTTGCCAGCAACTCCCTTGTGACTTTGGATTCAAACAAGTCTTCATGTAGTGACGAGGCTTAACTTCTGCTTGAATTTTCCTTTGGAACAATTGGTATAACAACTATATGTGTTTTTAGAAAGACATTTCAGTTCAGTAAACAAAATTGGGATGCTAAATGAAATAACAATATGGAAAAAAATGAAGGAATGTGAAAAGATTTTTTTCCCTAAGCAGTGCGTTACTGTTTTTTTTTTTTTTTCTCATTATTGCCATTGATCTTTTAAAAGAATTTAAGTTGAAGTCACGGGTGCAGGGACCTTGTCGGATTGGTCTGCTTATCTAGGGGGGGATCACTGGTGATGCTAAAGAACAGAAAGCTAATGAAGCTGACTTCCCAGGAGACAACCCATCAGAAGGTCTAAAGATATTTGATTGTTGTAGTTTTTTATTTTAAATCCTCCCAGTGGGCACTCTGAACCCACTGTTACAGATTCAATCATAAACAGAAAGGATCAAGATCAATCACATAACCTGATACACAAACAAAACTTATCAGCAAGAGTCACTGCTTCAGTCAGAAAAAGTTGAACAATAACAGTGAAATGATGAAAATCATCTAATTTTAGGTAAAAAAAAAAACCCAACTCCAGTGAGATATTAATATTTTCCACTCTGCTGGATTTAAATCTTCATTTCAGTATATCACCTTTGTATCCATTTCCACAGCGTTAGACTACGTATGGGGTGGGTTCCAATTTGCTCAATGTCATCCGGAGCAAAATGAGTCACAGCCTTTTAATATTCCGTACTAATTGTTAGAATGTGAGTTGCTGCTTGATGACTTTAGGACTTTATTACTGTTTGCATTTAATTCCTTGCCTATAAATGCTTTTTCTTTTCCGTGTGGACACTAGATCGTTTCATCAATCAGTAAGCCCATGCAATATGTAAGTTATGAAATAACCAGAGTGCCTAGCTAGTCTGTTTATCACAGACCAAGCACCTCTTGTGCAGTAGCATTGGAAAAGGTCATGTCCCTGGAGTACGGCAACAGGCAAGGGGGATACCTGGGGGCAGGTGGAGCTCTCAGAAGCCCCCTGAGCTAGAGAGTGGCCTTGCCTAAGGTAGTACCATGGCGTGACTCTCTGCTTTCCTCCACCGCAAGGACAGTGGAGTGCTGTCACTGTTACTAGCACTGGCCCTGCTCAGTCTCAGGAGTAAGATCCAGCTTTCAGCCTAAATTTGACCTTTTATGGTGTCTGTCCTTTCCTCCTTAAGTCCGCCTCATCAGTTGGGACCGACTCAAGAAATCGGCTCTCTTGGAAAGCAAATGAGCACAACCCATTTGGGAATTCGTTTGCATGAAGTACACCTTCCCTCCCATCTCTCTTTCCACCTCTGGTTAGTTTGCCAAACACCCTACGCAGCCCCCCTTTCCTACCTGCTGAGCAGTCAGGGCCCTGGTAGCCGTCTTCACAGAAGCAGAGCCCCTCCTGGCAGTGTCCTCGCCCGCTGCAGGCGTTCAGACACCGCCGCTGACTGCAGTCGTCCCCCACGTAGCCCTCCTGGCAGGAGCAGGTACCATTGGCGCATCGCCCCTTCCCCGAACAGTCCCCGGGGCACCTCAGCTCGCTGCAGTCCTCGCCTGTGTAGGGCTCTTCACAGACACACTCTCCATCCACGCAGAGCCCCCGGGAGCTGCAGTCTGTCGGGCACCGCAGCTCGGAGCAGTCACCCCCGCTGTACTCGCTGTCACAGACGCACTGGCCATCCACACACACGCCCCGGCTGGAGCAGCCCAGCGGACAGTAGGGCTCCGAGCAGTTCTGGCCGAACCAGCCTTCATTGCAGATGCAGCCGCAGGACTGGAGGCTGAAGTTGCCGTGGCCGCTGCAGTGAGGGATGTAGTCCAGTTGTCCTGGAACGGTCAAGGAGGGGGTCAAAGGGCAGCAGTGGCACCTCCTGTAAGTGGCACACGGGGAGGGGTGGACAGAGACCTCTCCTCGCTCTCTGGTCAGATTTGTGTGGCTGACAGTCAAGCTCAACCTAGTTTGGTACATATCCAATTTTGTAACTATTTTCACCTAATCTGGGTTGCCTGTGTCTAGCACAGTGCTGGGGGCAAGGATGAATGAGATCTGGCCCCTTGTCCTCCAGAAGCTCACCTTCAGTGTGTCTTAGCTTGGGTTCCCTAGAAGTAGACCTTGGATGAGAACTCAGGTCAAAGGGACTTACTAGAAAGTGCTCCCAGAAGAGACTGGTCAGGGAGAGGGGGAGATTGGGGAGGGAGGAGCCCAAGCCAGGGTGCGTTAACAGGCGAGGTCCCAGGGACGATAAACCAGGTTTAATCCTGCAGGATGCTCTGACCACAGTGCAGGTCACACCTACCCATGGCTTAAGGGCAGTCCTGGGGTGGTATAAATGTTCCAGCTCTGCCCTTGTCTCCTCGGGCAGGCCAAGGAGGTTCCCTCAGCTCAAGGATGGTCCCTGACAAAGACGCCCAGGAGCTGGCTATGGGGACCGATGGAGACCCAAGGGGATGTAGACTGAGTGCTGAGTCTGCTATGCAGGGCAAGATCATATGTGCTACAGACCCATCTTGCTCCCTCTCCTTCCTGCCATCTAGCTAACTTGGCTCATTTATCATAACTCAGCACCAGGGTCACTTCTAAGGCTTCCCAGAACTTCAGCCTCATTTAGTTACTCTTTACTATAACCTTTTTGGATTCTAGGCATATCTCTGTCCTAGCCCTTACCACACCTTAACTACAGGGGTTAATTTATCTGTCTAGCATGGGTCAAATACACTAATAAAGCAAACATGAGCCCAGTACCTGCTTGGCATCCTTCTCTGCACTTGGCTCTGAGGAGATGAAGTCAAGCAAGTTATATCCTTTTTTAATTCTGCCACTTTACCTGGCCCCGTGGTCTGAAAGGACACCAGGCTGACATTGCTTTAACATAGTTCTTGCTCGTGGATGTTTCCATATCTGCCAGGGAGCCTGATGGGAGGCTGGAAGAAAGCCCACTCAGAAGCTACCCGGCTTCCTGGGCAGCGAAGAGTTCATGTGCACGGACACCAATAACATCCCTGTATTCCTCAGCTCTGCTGAAAAGGCAAACTGGCCTGAAAGTTCTCACTGAAGAATGGGAAGAACTAGAAGAATAGGAGACGGAACAACTGGGCTTTCTCTTCTTCACATTGTTTATTTATAGTTTTGGTTATGAGGATGAGAAAGAGGTGAGAAAACTTGTGAAACGTTTCACCATGCAGAAACTGCCCCTAATTTTGGTGTGTCTCAGGATGAACATGTCTGATACCCCTCTGGACGTGCAGGTCATCCATGCCCTGTTACATGTCATCCCTGCCACCTCCTGCCTCTGCCCTGTGAAAGCCTTGAGACACCAGACCCTACAGAGGTGAAAACTGGAACCCAAGGTAGTAAGACGAATCCCTTTTCTCATTAAAGAATGAATGGCATGGGTCTAAGGTATCTTCTGGGTGAGAGGACTGAGCACAAAAGGGGACTAACACAATTTCTATTTATTAAGGGTCAGCTGATAGCTGTTGAATACATGGTGCTTACCAGAAGTCAACCTTTCATCTGAATAGCCCAAATTTTATATGTAATAATCCCTATCATTGTAGTCTATCAGCATCTTTAGGAGGGAAGGAAGGCATGGGTTAGGTAGCTTGCTTAAGTACCAGCTAGTAAGTAGCACAGCCAGGATTTGAACTCAGGGAGTCTGGCTCTGAAGATGTAATGACTTCTCCCAGAGAGGTCAAAATAGTAATCCCTAAGTGTTTCTAGTCAGGGGGTGGGTGAGGCGAGAGGTAAATCTCCTGGACCCTCAGCCTTTGGGGGCATGGAATCAGTTCTGCAAGTGTGTGTGAGTCCAGGCGAGCGTGCGTGTGAGCAGGTGCGTGTGTGTGCATGCGCATCCACGCGTGTGTCTGTGGAGGGAGCTGAAACCTCCATCTTGCGGGAGAAGATGGGGACAGGTCCTCTGAGACCTTAATGACTATCATTTACTCAGATGGGAGAGAGGCTGTGGCTGAGCGAACAGAGCGCCTGCGTTCTCTAGTCCCTGAGGTTAACATGGAGAGGTATCAATTCAACAGCCTGTGAAAACTAAAGATGAATGAAGACAGACACCAAATTCCCTGCTCGCCACAGAAGTTGCTGCGCTGAACCGATGTACCATTACCTGACTGATGCCCCCCAAATCAGGTTAATGTATTTCAAACTGGCTGAGCAGTGTAGAGAATCCCTGCCCCTATTCCCCCGGGAAGGACCGCATTTAGATCTGAGATGTAGTAGCGGAGACCTGCAGACGAGCAGACGAGCGACGAGCGCTCAGAGGAGCGCACTTTTCCCTCCATGCGAGGAGGAGGTGCAGGATTTCGCGGGAGGGGCTGCCCCCCAGCGCAATGTCGCCCCGCCTCCCCCCCCCCGCCCCCGTGCCTCGGCTGCCCCTGCGGGACTGAGAGCTCCCAGCCCCTACCTGTGGCTGCACTTTCTGGGCAGCAGTTGCTGGTGCACTGGTCCCGGAGCAGCGACACCTCCCTCTCCAGCATCTCGATCCGGCTCAGCAGCTCCTGCAGCACCCGGGCCGAGCCGGCACACGGGCAGGCCTTTTTGGGGAGGTTGATCCTGTGCGTGAAGGTGACCTGGCTCTCGTGGTCTGCGGTCTGACCCGTGTACTCTGCCAGCGCCTCATCTTCGGCACTCACCTCCTGCTCGGCAGAAGCCTCCAGCCCCGAGGAGCAGAGGCTATCCAGGGGCACGTTAATGTTGTACACGTGGTTGAAGACCATCGGCTGCTCTTTGCCCGATGCGTTGTATTTGGCCACCCTTCCTTGCTCCTCCACCGCCTGTCTCTGGACTCTTTCTGTGGTGACCTCCAGCTGACACTCAGAGGGCTTGAGCAGGGAGCCCAGAAGGATCAGGTTGACACCAATGAGCATGTTCTTCAGGACCACCGTTTCCCGGTCCACCCCCATCCTCTCAGCCAGAGCTCTGGGGTCAAGACCAGCCTGCAGCGCACAGGGTAGAGTTGTGGGAATCTGCAAGAGAAACGGAGGAACCAGATGACCCCTGAGAGCTGTGCGGAGCACCATGGCTGGGCACAATCCTACAAAGCTAAAGGATAGGCAGTTAAGATTTTCCACAGGGAGGTTGGGAAGGGACAGTAGCTACCAGGGTCACAGAAGCCCAGAGCTTTGCCCCCAAGAGGGATGGATTCCTGAAAATGGACACCGCTTCTGCAGAAGGACATTTTGATTTCCCAAAAGGCTTACCTAGAATGCACGTTTCCAAGCCCCATGGTGGGCAATTAGCCCCAACACAGAGGACCTGTGAGGACTGACGACTGGGGCTTGGTGGATAGGCTATTCCTCCAAGGAGAGCTCAGAGCTTCCTTTCACGTCTGGGTGAGAAGGGTACGACGGAGCCTCAGGCTTACGCTCATATTTTTCCACATATTTATTAGCAAGGGGCCCTACCAGCCACTTCAAAATAACTTATTAACTCCTCTAAGCTCATGTATTCAATACGAGTTGACTTTAGAATAACCAACCAGGAAGATAATATAGTTCCAGGTAATTGTGGTTGTTAATAATCCTTGGGTACATTTGTGATTATCGGGCACTGTGTGAGTCGAGCTTTCTTTTAATCTTCTCATTAGTTTAGTCCCGGTGCTTTGTGACCATGGGGTGCCTTTCTTCTGAGGTCCTGTTTAAATTGCTAAAATAATGAATTAGCTCCTCTGCTGATTACCTAGTCACCAAAACCCACCGAGGACGATAAATGTACTGTAATGCAAATCAGTTTTACAGAAATTATATTTCTTTTTTATCCCCTGTGTAAAAGAGGAAAGAGACTTACAAACTTTGGTTTTAAGGGTAGTGTTAGAGCTTCTAAGAAGATTAAAGATGGAGGGATGGAGTAAGGCTAGTTCTGACTCAGAGAAGACATGAATGATGGCTAATGCCTACTGACGGTGCTCGGTGTCCAGACAGCGCTGTGTACCTTGCACATGGTATTCCTGGCCCTTGGGACAGCCCTAGGAGGGGGCCTGGTGATTATCCCCATCTCATGATGGAGGCAATTCTTCCTGGAGAGGTTAAGATTTGAATGCAGGCTTGACAGACTTTCACAGCCTGAAATCCTGTGTTCCTAACCGCTGTGCTGTAGTCCTTTTCTTGACAAGCATGTTCAATTTTCTGTTGTCTCTGATGGCAGTTGTGTTAATTCTAGGATCTACCTGGGAATATTGAGATTAGAAAGTTTTGCTAGGGTCAGATCCAATGTTCTTTCCTCCATGAAGCCTTCTCCTCTCACCTTTTCCTTCCTGTCCCTTCATCTGCTCTCCCCAGTGAGGCGAAGTTAAGCCCCTCTGACAGCATTTCTCATGCTAGACCTGTGTCTCCTTTGCCTGGTTCTCCCCACCTGGACTGCTAAATCGATTCTGGTCAGACCACGTCTTATCTGCAGCATTTGACATGTGCCTAGGGCAGCAGAAGTGCTCAGTACGTGGCTGTTGGATGAATGAGTGGACGCTTGGAAGGATGAATAAACAGATGAATTAATGAGTAAATGACCAGTGAGCAAAGGGCTGAATCATTCTCCAACTTATTTGATCTCCTTCCATTATCCTCAGGTTATTCACTATTCTTGTCCCTTTCAGTTCAACTGGACAATGTCTGAGGGTCGATTTTGGTAGGAGTAATCTGTATTACTAGTATAAAATCCATGTCTCATTACTCAGCCTTTATGTTATATATTGGACCATAACTGGATATGGTCCCTGTTTCCAATATGAAGAGGAAACAGCAGAGCTGTTAAGATCATGACACTGGAGCCAGACTGTCTGGGTTCAGACCTAGCTCCTTCACTTTCTAGCTGTAGGTAGATCATTTAACCCATTTCTCTATCTACACAATGGGGATTATAACAGTATGTGCCTGTAGTAGTGATTTTTGATGTAGTGAATTGTACTGATGATTGAGTTATTAATACCTACCTAGTACCTGGCATTAATTAAAATAAATACATGTGGTTTGCAGACAAGTAGAATAATTGTTCTGATTCTTCCCCTATCCAAGGACTGCCCTGAAATCACTGAAGCATGCGAGAAGTCTCATCCATTAGTGGGCAGCGGGAAAGCCCAAACTTAGCATACCTTTGTTTGAACAAGGGTAGGTTCTTGGAGTAATGTGGGAGGTGGCGATCCACTGACCACATCCAGATGAGGTAAATCAACCTCAGGGATAGATGGAGTGACGTGCCTGAACCAAATTGCCTTCATGGCTGTCAACTCTTCCCAAGGCCCTCAATCTAAGGTGCTACTGATTCTCCATTTCCAGGTACCTAACCATTGCCTTCTTGGAGGGTCACTTCTGCCCCTTCTATCACTGAAAGCTCCCCAGGAACAGCTCTGCTATCAGTCACTGACACTTACTCTCACACTGAAGGCTGAGGAGACTTAGCTATCTCTTTTACTCAACTAACGTTGGTTTGTCTGATCCATGTTGCTATTGTCGAATAGCTTTTTTTATTTTTAAACCCAGGAACTGTAAAATTATCATGCAAAACCTATAGCATGTAATGTAGATTTTTTTTGCACATAGTTGACACTCAATAAATAAGTGAAAGAATAAATTATGTTAAAACTGGAAAGGAAGACAAGTGATAGGAAAATTAAGAAGGAAAAATGTCAGGTTCTACACTTAGATCCAAAGCAACAACTACAAAAGTATCTATGGAGAGAAAGGTTTAGCTTTCTCTGAACAACACTTAAGATCCTAGTCAATAACCAAACTTACTATGAGTCAGTTGACAGCATGATATTTGTAACCTCCAAAATCTTATTTAAGTTTAGGTTTTATGAATTAAAATACAGAAAAAAGGAGAAGCAAGGGGCTGTTTCACTCTGTACTGCACTGATCATTGATCACTTCTGGGTGGCCAGGATGTTGAAGGGACTCAGTCTTGTCATACGAGAGGGAGGAATTTGGCATTGACCCCAGAGAAGCGAAGACTCAGGAGGTACACTGGTTCCTTTTTCATTCATTTGACAGATATTTATTGAGTACCTACCATAGGCTGGTTCCTTCATTCACAGAAGTTCCATTCAAGTGTGTTTGCACGTGTGCGTGTATGTGTGTGTCAGGGGGAGGACAAACAATAAGTTTAAAAATAATCGTGTGCAGGTATCTCTTGCTTTTTGAGAGTTTGCATTATGCCACCTTGCACTTAGGAGAGACCTATATTAGTTCTGCAAAGGGTTTTCGCATTTAGGAAATTGGGCAAAAAGCAAAAATAGTGTTCAGCATTGATTCTGCCATGCACCATGATAGAGGCAGTGCATACCCCAAGCAGCGAGAGGGGTGCTGCCCTGCTCCTTCCTGGGGACAACACTCAGCATCTCATCATCGAGTCGTGAGAGGTTTGAACTGTGTCTGTGAGCATCTGTGCTTTATCTCATTTTATTTTGGGCATCCATTAGCAAAATGTGTCCTAAGGTATTAGAAAAGCCCAACAGAGGTTATTTTTTGGGTCTTGGAAGGCTCAAAAACTTTTCCACATAAATTAATAGTACGTGCTTCTTCTCTTTATGCCATTTCAACTTATGAAAGCTTTCATAGGGACACTTTACTTCCAGATAGCGGGGAAACCTGTATATCATATATAATGTATCATATAAGGCATAGTATATGGTATTTAATGTATGATGATGTAACATTCATTTGTGTGTGTTTGTATCAGCAAGTGGCAAATGGAGGAGAATAAAAGATGAGGGGCCAGGGCGCTAACAGGGCAGGAGGAGTAGGGCATGGGCAGGGAAGGATTCTTTGAGAAAGTGACAGCTGAGCAGAGACCTCAAAGAAGTGGAGTGGTGAGGGCGCCTGGGTGGCTCAGTTGGTTAAGCGACTGCCTTTGGCTCAGGTCATGATTCTGGAGTCCCTGGATCGAGTCCCGCATTGGGCTCCCTGCTCGGCAGGGAGCCTGCTTCTCCCTCTGACCCTCCCCC